CATTTTAGCTCCGGAGGAGCTGCGCTAACAAGCTTTTATCCTGATGAGAATTATTTTTCGATTTGCAGACTTCTTTTGTTTTAACCCATTACTATATTCATTGTAAAGTTATTCTTTGCTTTACTATGATTACAGTAAGGCCATCGAATGTGGAAAACAGAAATAAGCATTCATAATTCAGTTGAGAAATACCATTTTTTTCCAATTGGTTCACTAGAACATAAGCGTAGATATGTTTAAAAGGTCTATCTTGTTACTATATCGAAATACGACAATAATTACTCGGTATTTATTCTGAAATATCGAATGTTTTTATGCTATTCATTTTTCTAGAGTCAGATTATATCACAGTTCGATGAAAAAATAGAAAAAAAGTCAGAGTAGTAGCAACAACGATGGAAAGATTCTTCGAACCTAATGAGTTTTAGTCATAGATATGCAAAGAAAGTAACAATTTATAGAAGAAGATTTTTAATATAAATTGCGTGTAGGGGCCATAATCTTAAATTGTTGTTGGAAAACTTTTAATTTTAAAAATTAACTAATGTTATAAAACTCCTTATATTTTTTTCTATTATTTCCATTTTTATATTTTAAACTTTATCGATGGGATCTATATTGAACATTTTATTTATGCTAAATACTATTCTTTGTTATATATTATTTATTTTTAGTGCATTCAAAAAAAAAAATTTTCAGAATTCATAGTGATGCATATACATACTACTTTGCACTTATGGTACAATGTGCTCCGTGAGAAACTTGTAAAACTCGATCTTTTTGATACTTAATCATCAACTGCAAATATAGTTTATCATGGAATTCTTAATACTCGTCTCTTTCTTATTTTATTAGGTGTCTTCACGATTATTTTAACTCTATATACTTCTGTTAGTATACAAATTAGCACTGGTTTTGTACCATCACCAACTGAAGTTACCTTTGAAAATCTAGAAGAAAATTATCCGAACACACTAAAATGTCCATGTAAAAAAATTTCAATACCATACAAAGCAGTTGTTAAAATTATACAATTCATGTTTCAAGTTTATTCTAGTTCTTTTGTTTCTCAGCGGTGAATTGAGTTTTCTTTTGAAACTAATAATTCACCACTTCGGCCAATGGATGTAAAAACATAATTAAGTTCAATAATGACAACTGTTTTCGACTCTTTGTCAAAGTACAGATAATACAATTACTTATGCACTCAATGAATTTGTCGAATACATTTATTAAAAACAAAGATTCAAGCTGCTCTTGATTTAGTACGACAAAAAAAGCATCAACGAGACATATTCAACCGTTTAAACAAACAAATCAGTTCATGACAGCTTTATCAACAGATTATATCACATTCTTATTTTATCAATATTCACTACACACAATAGCTGTTAGTTTCATACAGACCTATTATATACAGAAAGGATCGACAGATCAGTGCCTATGTCTATATAATGAAAACATGTTCTACAGCGGGCACTGTCTCTTTTTATGACCCATGAGAAAAATATGGAGTCTTTGATTTGAATATAATTATTGCCAATAAAACCTTACCTGGTCTTGTGTTCGATTGTACACCATCACAGACGATACTTGGTTCGACGTTGGAATATTTCTATAATCATTGATGTCTTGATATTATCCTTATGACTTATCAAAATACTATAAATATGTCAATACTTGATAAAGTTCTGTCAAGTTGGTTCACATCTGAAGTAACCATCGATATACTTATGAATGAACTTTTTATTGAACACATTCTCAATGAGACTAATTACAATTCATACTATTCTCGATGTGCCCCTCTCTATTGTACTTATACTTATTCATATCGATATGATTGGATTTATGAGAGTAAGGCCTTGTGTCTTTGTACTTTTTGAATTGTGCAAAAATTTCATTTGCATGATTTTCTTTTGAAAGGATTACCAGTTCGAGTTCATCTAAAAATCTTGGATTATAAAATTCAACTTGTTTGACAATCATTCACGCAATTTATTTGAAATAAAACGTGGCTGTAAGGCAATACGTCTTTTTATTTTTCTCTTCATAATAGCAACTTGTATTCTTTTAATAAACACATCGATATGAGTTCAAACTATTACTGATACTATAAAAAATCCATCGCAGACGCAATATGAAAAATTGCTAGAGTAATATCCAACTTCATTGAAATGTCCATACAATATTACAGCAATTCCTTATAAAGAATTCATTTAGATTACTTCGATATGCCATCAAATATGCAAAAGCAATTTTACTCAGTCATGATGGTATAATAGCCTCTTTATTGCAAGAACTAAGTTCGTTCCAAGCAATTTCGTTTTCTTTGCTGCACCTTTTTTTTTCGAACATTGGCTATGTTCTGTGAAATAGCAAATTTAACGATTGTAGATGCTATTCAGCGTTTTTATTCAATAATGTTTGTAAGCGTACAAGTTATATCACGTAATTTATTTGATTCCAAAACAAAGAATATTATAGATACATTTATAAATTCCACTCGAGCAGAATTCGCAAATAGGTTATCATTGATTAATGAAGTAGTTCATGCTAATCAACATAGAAGTGGTATGTTGATGTAGTAAATGTTTCTAGTTATATAACATCGGCGGAGAATCTTTACCGTATTGTTTGGTTCAATCAAATAGGTCTAATAACAAATAATCAAACATGTTCTTATGATAATGATCCTGAATGTAATGTTGGATTCCGTTCTTCACCAATCTTCTCTTCAGATATACTTCTTATCCTGAAAATCTGACTTTGCTTTATTCTATATTGCCGAGTCGATTTATATCTAATACTCTTGTACAAACGATTGTTAAGAAGGTAATAATCGAACAATGAAATTCATAAGTTTGATATCATAGCTTTTATCAAATTTGCAAGCCTGTATAATTGCTCTTTCACATACCAAGAAAGGAGTAGTTTGGCGTATATTATTACTATAGTGATGGGTCTCTTGGATGGTTTCAATATTATTTTTCGATTACTATGTCCCTTCGTTATAAAACTTTTTGTTAGACGTATCAAGGTCGATGGTCGTAAATCAATACTTTGTTATCGATGAATTATATTTAAGAATGATGAAGAAAGGGTTAGAAACTTTTGTCTAGTTTTATTTCATTATCATAGCAGAGGACAAGTAGAAAAACGTAAGGTATTTGTTATATAATTTGTTTATATTATGACAATAAAGTTAAAAGAGGAATGCTTCCAATATCATGTTTCAAACTAACTTCAGTTATTCGTGATAAAAAAAAAGAACATCGAACGTTTCTTTTTTCTGTCGTTCAGTGATGAAATCTCTCAAAAATCATCGCAAAATAGATGTTTCACATATGAATTTTCCTTTCTGTAATGCGCTAGATTTTTCTTTTTCGTTTGGCAATATGAACGCTTAACAAAACTTATTTCTGATGTGGAAATAATAATAATGTGAACAAGGTGTGAGTGCGAATGTGGATAACGACACAAGACTTCTCTTCACCCTCACCGACCCACAGCCAACGCAACACTCACACCCAAACCCACACCCACACACCCACACTCATACCCCACAACTCCACCCTATCCAGAGGTGGAATGTGGAAGAGGGGCGTGTCATGATGCTTCAAAAACATTTTGGAAAGTCTTATGAAACGATACCAAACCCATCAAAGTTGATTATGATAGGGTGAAGATACGGTTACATGATTTCTGAAGTGAAGACCTCGAGTACACATGAAAATGATATAAAAAGAAGTGTCATTGTTTACCTTTCTACGAGCATTTGGACATGTTGCTAGTACTTTAACCCTACACATACTTATACCAAAAGGTGCGTCTTTCGACGGACTACAACATATCCGAAATTCAGTCTAGGATCTTGAAACGTGAGGCGCCAATAGCGTCACCAAGCACATAAAAGCCTATGAAAAAAAAAAAGAAAAAATAATAAAATTTTCTATATTTCAATGATTGTTGGAGAGGCCAGTCTTTGCGAATAGAAATACTTTCTATAGGGTTTTGTAGAGCGAATTATGCTCTATATTTTGGTATAAGATAGTGATTGCTTCGATGAAGTTTTTGTGTTGAAATGTTTGCCAAAAAGAAATAATTTTTTTTCACAAAAAACAAAATCATTTTTTTCAAACATTGATTATTACTGAAAAAAGTCGAGATAGCAAATCTCCTCAAGACTTCATCTCAAAGATTTGAGAATTTGTCCCTAGGCCTAACTTTTTACGCTCTTTCACACTGGCTAATCAGTTTCAAGATGTAAAATTTTTCGGCACCCGGCTTGGGTGGTGATCTCATGGCCTCTCTCTTAAATTGATTATTCTTTTTTATGCATCAAATATAAATTTCTCAAGGGACAAATATAATTAACTAAGCTCAATTAATGTTAAACTATTGAAAAACAAAACTTATTAATCTAATTTAGATTAGAACAGTTCTATTTTGGAAGAATTCTTCTATCTATTGAGATTTATTTTCACTCAAATGATAATAAACGTATCAATATCTGCAAAAAGTAAAAAAGTTTTTAAAAAAATTCAAATTAATTAGATCATCTCAAATAAAATAAATAATATTTGTATGTGGCACATATAGCTATTTTTAAGAATAACCAAATGAAAATGAATTTTTATAAATGCAAAATTTTTTAACTGTATCAATTGATTAGATCTTTCAACGAAAGAATGTTGAGAATGAATAAAAATATTAAATCATATTTCTTGAAATTGATAACTTATTTATTTTTTCATTGATTCTCATGTTTACGAAGATCATTGAGAAATATGTTAGAAAAAAAATTTATATTTACCTACATCAATTGTCATTGAAGAAGTATTGGGACATAATTCATCGAATTGTTTGAGAAATACACAGAATGATGGATGAATACTATTTTGAATATATTCAATATCAAACCATTCATATACTTACGAATATTCACTTAATAAACTGAAAAATAATGTCAGAAAAGTATCATTTCAAAAAAAAAAACAGTCTTACAATAAAATAATAGAACGTTGAAGTTTTTTAAGATTAGAAGAGAATATATGTTGACATGATTTATTTTCATCATAAAAACATTGAACATTTGTCCATTGATGTGAAATAAAAAACGAATTTATTTTAAAAGAATTAATTATTTCTGAAATATTATTTAACAATGATTGACGTTGTGCACAAATATAAAAATAAAAATATTTTAAATAAATTATTTGATCAGATAAACAATATTGACGAATAAAATTTGCATCAATAATAGATTTCCATGTTAATCGATCTTCCTTCCATATATCTCTACTATATAAATGAATTTCTAATTTTTTTATATGATTTAAATTATTAAGACGCCATTTTAAATAAGTAAATTCAAAATCAGCAGAAATAAAACTTTTCAATGTAAAACATTTCAATTTTGGTATCTATTTAAAAGAAAAAAAATAAATTACACAATTTTTAAACTTTTATTTTATTTAACTATTAAAATAAAATGCAAGTATTGAAAAATAATTTATTTATATTATATTATTCTTTTCTTCTATTTAATAATTTGTTAATTTACCAATTCGTTTTTCTCTTACATTATATCAAAACTAACTATCTGATTAAGCAGTGTAATTAACATTGAAAAGTTTTCTTTTTTAATCGTCTGTTTAGTGAAAATAGAGATTTACTAAGCAAGAATTCAAATTTTTTATTCTTGACAAAAAATTCATAGATTTCTAGGAAAATAACTTTTTAACAAAATTAGAAAAATTTAATTTTCATGATCAAATCATTATTCTCTGATGATAAACTTATTAATGTAGATCTTAAAAAACTCAAATATCGAACAAAGATTTCTTCTTCATCTTTATGAAAATTAATAAGGTGCCGGCGATGCGAATTTTCAGTAAGAAATTTTTTTTCGCGCTGTTTTCACATCATCGGATAGAGCTTGAGCTGCTGATTACGATAAACTACTTTTTAGCCTTAGCAAATGCTTCATTCCGGTCAAAAAATACGAAATACTTGAACAGTGTCGTTTTTCAAGAGAAACACTTTCTTTCTCGAAACGTGCAAAATTTTCTACTTTATTCTTTTTTGTTGCTTCTGAAAATAATTTTTTCACATTCAGCATCAAAAACTGAATATAAGAAAGTTCTTAAATCGACTCTAGACTCAAAACTCTATTGTTGGTAGCGCTTCGAATAGTGTCGAGTGCACCATGTATAGGTCAATTTTGTAAACCTATCTAGTTTCTCCACGTAACTGATGAAGCCCAATATTTTATCTCATTCGACTCGTCATACCCCTAGCCAAAAACTAATGCATCGCTTTTTTTTCCATTTCGTTCCTGTGTTGAGAAAAACCGGTTTTACTGGTACCATACCGATTTTAGGCGGTATTCAACGGTTTTTGAATCCAAATACGGCTTTTAGGCAAAAACTAAATACAGATTCTGAATCAGCATAAAAAACTGAGTCGAATGAAGTATCTTTCAAGCTCCTTTGACGACTTTCATGTTTTGTCATTTTTCAGGTATCATATGAGAGGTACAGGTTTTGCATATAAGTCAAAAAAATGAAAGTCGTCAAAGGAGCTTGAAAGATACTTCATTCGACTCAGTTTTTTATACTGATTCAGAATCTGTATTTAGTTTTTGCCTAAAAGCCGTATTTGGATTCAAAAACCNCAACCGAAGTAAGTTTTACTACAAGAAAAACAAAACTAGAAATAAAGATATATTGAAAAAAAGTTGCGTTTGGGTGATTTATAATTTTACGTTAAAAACTCTGCGCTAGATTTTGAATGAAGCAATAATATCGATTATATCTTATTAAAAATCTATTGAAATAACATCAACTTAGTCTTAGGAGACTCTACATTCTTGGCTTAAGTTTTCGGCATGCTTTACTCATTAGGTTTTCCTAATCTTCGTAATATATTGCTATGAGTTAATCGATCAAATGAATAAGCGAATAGCATACTTCAATCACAGAAGAAAGAATTAGGTACTAAGATTAAAACAATGTCATTTCAATAGATTTTTAATAAGATATAATCGATATTATTGCTTCATTCAAAATCTAGCGCAGAGTTTTTAACGTAAAATTATAAATCACCCAAACGCAACTTTTTTTCAATATATCTTTATTTCTAGTTTTGTTTTTCTTGTAGTAAAACTTACTTCGGTTGATTGAATATTAGCAATGGAATAGTTATGACAGTAGAAATATTTAAAAAAAGCTATTAGCGCATTCCTTTGTGGGATTAAAAATGTGAAACACGATGGACCAATTGTTATTAATTGAATGGCCATCGTTTTGTTCAATTTGATCACGGTGTAACTCTAGCTTGCCGTTTATTCTATACTTCAAAACTACACTTAACCTATCACGGTCTGTGACGGTCTCTTGGATTCTATGTCACGGTCTGTGACGGTGTCTGGCATTCTCTGTCACGATCTGTGACGATTTCTGGAATTCTCTGTCACGGTCTGTGATGGGTATGAAATTTCTCTGTCACGGTCTGTGGGGGAGGGGGGTCCAAATTTCTACCCCTAAACACTTCAACACTCCTTTCAGATCATGTTTCACAAAAAAAGCGTTATTTGTAATGTTACTTTATGAGGAAAATAGGAAGAGTCTATAAAAATGAAGTTTATCAGCACTGGAAAATATTGAATTTAAAATTTAATAATTTTAACTCGATTATATTAACGAAAAAATTGAAAAATACTTACAGTCAAATATATATTAGATTCAATTTCGCTTGTTCTATGCTATTTCTGTATCTAAATTAGAATACTCAATATTTCCAAATATTGCGTGGTTTTCAGTGCTGTATGTTTGTAATAAACTGATTTTTGAAATTAACAACGTAGACAAGCTCTGCTTTGTGAACATTTCTAGACTGAATCATGCTTCTTCTTCATATCAACAATACCATCATATTAGTTAAATTTAAAATATACCCATCCACCAAAAGTATTCGGATTACAATACAAAAACCTATATTAATGTTGTAAATCATTCATCAAGTATCCCATAGAAATTCATCTGAATTTTAAATTCTTATTAATTGAATTGAATAGTTTTGAATTCATAGATATATTAACCCTTTCACTCCCGGCTTTTTGCCAAAATCCAAATTTTTATTTATTTTTTTGCAAGAGAATTGCATTCCTGTGTCAAATAAGTGTTAGTAGTTCATTTTTGTGCGATAGTCTTTAAAGAAATCAACATACATACAGGAACATTGCAGTCAGCACACATATACCGTATATCACATCAAACATCATGGAATGCGCAAACTACACATTTCCTTTGAGACTGTTTTGATTGTGATGTTTGTGGAATAAGTAAAGGAAAATGTCGAGCAGTGAGACGAATAGGAGAATCCCTTGCCGATGGTCTTCTAATAATAGTTTGTATTTGTGATCCCTACGTTGTCAAAGCTTTCCGAATGATATCAAGCCCAAAATCAAATACGTGAAATGGAGCATTATCCTACATTTTGTATATAAGATGATAAAGAGAAGGAGTTTCCCATCCTGGAAAATCTCAAAATGATAATAAGCTAAGAGGAACAATCTTACAGGGAACAACCAATACGTGTGGTATGTACCAGCAGTGAACAAAATATCAGGACGTATATATACGTCGCCGGGAGTCAAAGGGTTAAATATTAATATTAGATATTACGATTCACTATGTTCTTCTATCCAAAGTTAACAAGAAAAGATCATCCACTTGTTGTTAAATCGAAAATTGTTCAATTATAATTTTCAATAAAAACAATATTCTAGTCAATATGAAAAGCTTGGAAAAAGAAAAAGATAATAAGTGACGATTATCTTTTTTATACTTTAAAAAACGTACCATCTGTATCTTATTCTCTAGAAATTTCCAAAGAATTGCTCGATACTGATGTAATTTAAAATCTATCTGTAACGAAAAAATAATATTAATATAGAAAGGTGAGGGTGGTCGATCGTCTTATATAATCGTGGTGGATGTATATAAGTGTGACTTGAAGGATGCACAACACAATGAACAATAAACCGTGCTAATTTATTTAATAAGATGAGACACGGATATACAATGTTTAATGTTAGAAGACACGGCTCACAATCAATTGGAGTAAATGGGTGTCTCTATAATGTTATGATCCTTGACCTAACCTAACTTCGTTACTTGTTCACCAACCTATTTGTTTATTAATCAAGTATAACAGTTGTAACCAGCGAATACTGAACTGCTTCGTATTCAACTACGAACTGCTTCTTGTTAACTACCAACTACCAACTATCAACTCGCTGCTCGTTAAACTATCCACGATCAACTCGCTTCCCTTTTTTCTCAGAGACACCCATACATATAGAGAGAACGAGAGAGAGAGAAAAAAGTGAGCAATGGGAGAAAATAGACAAAAAATGGAAGAGAAGAAAAGGAGAGAGGAAAGAGAATCAAGAACGGATTACGCGATGCTTGAGCGAGAACAAGGGGTGGAAATATCAAAGCACATCCGACGTCCTATGTAAACGCTATTAGTCTCTTCACGTTGGAATAGTGTGCTTCTTAGCATCGTACAACGTGGTATCGGCTGACGTAATCTGAAGAGGCCAAGTGCTCTATTGGCACACTATCAAAAAGAATTCATTTTATATTTTTGTTCTGAACATTTTTCTTAGTACTAGTCATATGTACAAATCATGAAAAGAGAAAAATAACGAAGATGTTAATCTTTTTCTGTTTTACGAGAATAATTACTTACGATAGAAAGTGCGTTTAGTTTGAAACACATCAGCATCCTAAAGCACTATATACCATATGAAATAAATAGACTAAGGTCATTTATGGTCAATCAGAAGTAATCTTCAACTCCAATGAAAGAATTACAGAAGTGTGAATTAAGTTTTTACCATTTATTATATGATCTGTAAGCTACTTAGGATGTACCAAAAATTCTGATCACTGTGTTTAAAAGACTTTTTCGATAAGGCGTCCTATTCGAAAATGAGAAACCAAATATACTATGTGGTAGAGTTTTTAAAGATGCATCTAATGGTATGCAGTAAATTCTATTCTCACAAGACTGAAAGAATTAGAATCAATGTACTGATAGGCGACTACACATTCACATATGCATTCATCCATATCCATATTCACAAGGTGATCGAAGTTGTCATGTATATGACATTGTAGTCCTTTGAAAGTTCTAGAAAGTCATATGTGAGAAAAAGCATTTTACGAATATTTTTGATTAATGGCAAGAATCACAATATTCATTAATTTATCATTCTTGAGTATAGGTGCTAGTATGAATGCATGTGGATATGTAGTCGTCTATCAGTAAATTGATTCTAATTCTTTCAGAGTCTTATGAAAATAGAATATACTATATAGTACTCGATGCATCTTGACAAACTCTACAACATGATATATTTGGTTTCTCATTTTTGAATAGGAAACCTTGTCGAAAAAGTCTTTTAAATATCGTGATCAAAACTTATGGTACACCCTAAGTACACACTCTCTTTCGATAAAAAACTGGATGGAAATATAATAAATTTTCAATTTTATGATTAGTAAAAATAGATATATGGGGTTTATTCTATTACTTTTGTGAAACAGTCATCAG